ACTTCTGCCATCACAGCATGTAACCCGGCCTGGCACACAGAGGGTGATCTGGGGTGGTTGGGGCTCCGGTGCTGCCAATAATTGGGGGCGCAACAAAGTGATCGCAGAGCAGCAGCCGGCAAACGTCTAATGTCATGAAGAGGTCATAAGACGTGTCATGATAACGGGGTATTATAATGTCTAGAGACATAAAGGGGTAATAGAACACCTAATGTCATAAAGAGTGTTTATAAAGGGGTAGTAGGACATAGGTCATGAAGCAGGAATAAAACAGCTAACATCATAAGGAGGTATTATAAAGGAGTAATAGAACGCCTATTGGCATAAGGAGGTATTATAAAGGAGTAATAGAACGCCTATTGGCATAAGGAGGTATTATAAAGGGGTAATAGAACGCCTATTGGCATAAGGAGGTATTATAAAGGGGTAATAGAACGCCTATTGGCATAAGGAGGTATTATAAAGGGGTAATAGAACGCCTATTGGCATAAGGAGGTATTATAAAGGGGTAATAGAACGCCTATTGGCATAAGGAGGTATTATAAAGGGGTAATAGAACGCCTATTGGCATAAAGCGGTATTATGGTGTCTAGTCTAGAGTTATAAAAGGGGTAATGTGACATGTATTCTATTATAATGTCTAGTGTAGGGTCATAAAGCGGGAATAGAACACCTAATACATATCATAATACCCCTTTATGATGTTATCACAAAGGTAATACAGTATACAATATGTTGTTATATATACAATATGTAACCCCTAATGTCATAAAGAGGTATTATAGTGTCTAGAGTTATAAAGGGGTAATAGAACGCACCTAATGCCCTACAGAGGTATTATAAAGGTATAAAGGGGTAATATGACATATCATACTGCATGTTATCATGTCTAGTCCAATGTTATAAAGCGGAAGTTACATTGTTACATAGATTGGAAAAGAGACTCCATGGAGGAGTTCAACCAATATATAAAAAATGAAAAAATGAACTGGAAACCTCCATATACAGGACCCTGTACACCCCCCGAGGATCCAGAGGAAGGCATGAAACCCCCTTATAAAGGACGGTTCCATTTTCTGCAACAGGAGAGCACTAATCCTTCTGATCCCCTTACATCAGGGGTGCCCATTAGGTAGATGGTGATCTATGAGTAGCTCTCAGAGCTGATGCTGGTGGATCAGGAAGGGGGGGGGGAGGGCGGCCCCTTTATTCCATGTTGGTATATTTATCTCGCTGTGCGCACATGATTACCTATCAGCCCGAGTCTGCTGAGCCGAGCTCCCCGACACCTTTCTGGAGGATACTGGGGGTTGTAGTGCTATGTATTACATCAAAGAATATTAGTGTACACAGCAAAATACAGCAAGGTGAGCCAGGAGAGAGAGCGGGGAGAGAGAGCGGGGAGAGAGAGAGAGAGGAGAGACAGCCAGGAGAGAGAGAGTGGGGAGAGAAAGCCAGGGAAGAGAGACAGCAGGAGAGACAGCCAGGAGAGACAGCCAGGAGAGAGAGTGGGGAGAGACAGCCAGGGGAGAGAGCGGGGAGAGAGAGGAGAGACAGCCAGGAGAGAGAGTGGGGCGAGAAAGCCAGGGGAGAGAGACAGCAGGAGAGACAGCCAGGAGAGAGACAGCAGGAGAGACAGCCAGGAGAGAGTGAGGAGAGACAGCCAGGAGAGAGAGCTAGGAGAGACAGCCAGGAGAGAGAGGGGAGAGACAGCCAGGAGAGAGAGCGAGGTTTCATGTAGCTCGTCATTTGAAAAGTAGATCTCAACACAACAAATTTGTGGTTCCCCCTGTCCTGAGATCCTATAATGTCATAAAAGGAGAAATATAATATTTGATGGTATAAAGTGCTAATGCAACATCTAGTCTAAGGGGTAACATGACGTATTCTATTATAATGTCCGGTCTGGTGTTATAATGCGGTAGGATGATGAGGGTTATCATCTCACATTATAAAGCTGTAATATGATTTGTAACATCTGATGATATAAGGGGGTGATATCTCTCCTGTTACACAGAGGGATCACATCGCCCCATGTTATAAAGAAGTGATATGACTTGTAAAGGGATATTGTCATGGGGGGGGGAGGAATGCTGCTTCATCACCGGAACATTGTTTATGAATGTTAAACGCTGCCAGTAGATTATCTTCAAAGGAAATGTAAGAAAAGTCAGCGCCGGTCCTCGAATCAGATGACCGAATAGGTTTCTGCCAAGTTCAGGGTTCAGACGTTGGTGTGTCATACAGAGTTGGCTCTGGTGGTTCTCACCATTCGGACTCCCGGTGGATCAGAGAATTATACAGTGGTCTCGGAGTTAGATGGTTTTCCACTGCCGGCTACTCGGCGTGAATGTAGAAAGCCGACATCGCATCTATAACCTGCTCCACGGTGCTGTTGGGATTCTGCTTCAAGGGGGATTTGCTGTAATAGAAATCAGCAACTGGACAGAGAAAGAAGACTTGATAGAGCAGAAGACCTCAGACTGAAAGACAAATATCCTGGTGTGACTTTACAGAGCCTCATATTGTCCCCCCCGAAATCAGGGACCATCAGCCAGTGTTCTGATGCCAACCATGTGACCCTAGGGGCTCATGCCACATTTGCTGATCACAATCTCCTGCCTCTGATTTTGCTCTGTGTGATCTCCGTCACTTCTCTCTTCTGCTTTCTCTGGGAGGTTGTCACTTTCCTCTCCGCCTGTCTACGGCCTTCTATCAGTCGCCCCAACCGAGCCCGGGGCCCCTTCTGCCACCCGGGGACGCCACCGTATAAAGAGCAGTTACCCACGGCAACCAAACGGACCCAACTGTCACTGCTCGGCCATATTTAAAGAAGAACTCTAAGAATTGGGAAAAAATAATGTGTTAGTCTGCCCGCAGTCCGCACTTCCACATTCCCGGCCTCGTCTCAGTGTATTTATATAAAGAGTCGCTTTTGTCTGGTTCAGAGGGAAGTATATCGGTTACCTAAGACTTTTCTGCCATACACAGCAAGAATCTGATTGGCCGCGTCCACAGAACATAATGGGGAGGGGGGCATTCTAGCCTCCACTGTGCCACAAAACAGCCTCCCTGCAATATTCAGTTACCTGCCCTCCTTCTGCCCCAGGTTTCTTAACAGGGGGCATCTGGCATCTCTGAGGACGTCCTGCCCAGATCACTTCTCCAAATCCCTTCTTCTCTTCCAGGCCACTTTTCAAGGGTAATTCTCCCCCATCCATGTCTGACTCCAGGTATCTCCTCCAGGACACTTCACTTCTCCTTCTCCAGGTCTTTCCTACTGCTGTCGATTCTCCTTCTTCTCCAGGTCACCTCTTCTCCTCTAGATCACTTCTCCTCTTCCAAGTCACTTTTCTTTCTCCAGGTCACCTTTTCCACATCCTGGTCACTTCTCCTCCTCCCCTCTCCTCCTCCTTTAGATCACATCTCCTCCTCCAGGTAACTTCTCCTCCTTTGGGTCACCTCTCCTCCTCCGGGTCACTTCTCCTTTCCTCCACCTTTAGGTCACATCTCCTCCTCCAGGTCACTTCTCCTCCTTTAGGTCACCTTTCCTCCTCCAGGCCATTTCTCCTCTCCTCCACCTTTAGGTCACATCTCCTCCTCCAGGTCACTTCTCCTCCTTTAGGTCACATCCCCTCCTCCAGGTCACTTCTCCTCCTTTAGGTCACCTCTCCTCTTCCAGGTCACTTCTCCTCTTCACCTCTCCTCCTCCTTTAGGTCACCTCTCCTCCTCCAGGCCATTTCTCCTCTCCTCCTCCTTTAGGTCACATCTCCTCCTCCAGGTCACATCTCCTCCTCCTTTAGGTCACATCTCCTCCTCCAGGCCACTTTCCTCTTCTTCAGGACACTTCTCTATCTCCAGGTCAGTTCTCCTCATCACCTCTCCTCGTCCAGGTCATTTATTTTTCTCTAGGTTTCTTTTCCTTCTCCAGGTCACCTCTCCTCCATATCACATCTCCTCCTCCAGATCACCTCTTCTCCTGCAGGTCACCTCTTCTCCATATCACATCTCCTCCTCCAGATCACCTCTTCTCCTGCAGGTCACCTCTTCTCCTCCAGGTCACCTATACTCTTCCAGGTCACTTCTCCTCCCTTAATTACTATGTCATTTTCAGATCAATTCTCCTCCAAGTTCTTCTCCAGGTCATTCTTCTCCTCCAGGTCTCCTCTCCTCCTCCAGGTCACTTATACTCTTTCAGGTCACTTATCCTCCAAGTCACTTGTCCTCCTCTAAGTCCATTCTCCTACCCAACCACTTCTTACCATTGAAGATTTAGAGGCTGTGAGGTAACACGTAGTTCTTATTCAGGACCTCAGTAAACATAGATTAGGCCAAGTGTCTTCATCTCCCTCCATCAATCACTTATCTTGCTCTTCTTCCCCTGCCCGCAGCCCTCACCATGAGCCGGAAAGTTGTCCGCACCAGCAAGTTCCGCCATGTCTTTGGCCAACCGGTGAAAGGCGACCAGTGCTACGATGACATCCGCGTGTCGCAGAACACCTGGGACTCCAACTTCTGTGCCGTCAACCCCAAGTTCCTGGCCATTGTGGTGGAGGCCAGCGGGGGCGGAGCTTTCCTGGTCCTGCCACTGTCTAAGGTAAGTCAGAGCGGGCATTGGGGTGGCTGTGGACTGTGTGGTTTTCTGCTTCCAGGACACGGTGCGAGGTCAGCGGAGGTACTTCCAGCCTCTGTGTGTATATATTTCACTTGTGTATTCCTTACACAGCTAGCAGAAGTAGCCAAATCTGTAATTATATCGGCCTCTGTTATACTCCGCACAGCAGTGCTCAGCCTGGGCGTGGGAGGGGCAGCACTAGAAGCCAATCAGCTGCATGCACATGTGCCAACATGAGGAATGAGCCAAGCCGAGGACTCATTAGTGCGTTGCTGCTCATTCACTAAGCAGGTTGTGGGCGGGGCTGTGACACTACTATATTCCTTAACTCCAACAGAGAAAGTGGTGTCACCCTCCTTACTGTATTCTCTGGCAGGGGTGTACGAGTCACATAAGTGGTCAGAGTTACATATCCTGTCAGATGAAACAATTCACTGATGTGAATCACAGATGTGTATTGGATGTTTGCTGGCGTACACTTTGCAGCGTTGTTCTCTTTGTAATCCGCTGATGAACGAATAAAGATTTGAATCTCGTCCCACGCCAATGCTGTGAAGGGTCCTGAGACCGGCCCATGTAGCGATCTCTTTCCCAATGAGGTATCCGCCCTTCTACTGACGCAAATTGTTTCCTTAAAGGAGAACTATGGTGTCAGGGCTTTTCCCCATAGTTCTCCTTAGGCCCCGTTCACATTGAGCGATTTATCGCGCTGTAATTCCCGCGATATTGCGGCTATTTACCGCGCGATATCGCTCTTCACTGCATCTCAATGGGGCAAAGGGTCCTGCTGTCGCGGGTCGTGTGTCGCTACAGCAGGACCCTTTTTGGAGCGGATTTTGCCGCGATTCTCGCTTGCTCAATGCAAGCATTTGCGCGATATCGCGCAACATACAAATCACGTGACAAACGCGCGATTTGCGAATCGCGCAATATGAACGGGGCCTTAGGGTAACGGGAGTACACAAACTAGCGTCCTCCCGTCACCGTAGGCTCAGTATACCTGATCGAGAGGTGAGCGAACCCGGTATGTGTTCTCTCACCTCCCGATCTACTGAGCCGACCTGCGACAGTCTCATTGTCACAGGTCGGCTAGAACTATGAGGGGAGTGGAAAGCACCCTCCCCTCCCCCCCTCATAGTTCTCCTTTAATTAGACATATTTGTCAAATACGGTTTTCTGAATTTCTGTGCAAACATTCAGCCAATCACATCAAACCCGAATCTACAAATCTTCCCCCATCCCCCAATCTTATTGTCTTCTCTATCATAGTCATTTGTATCCTCACATGGCTGTTGTTGAACGTCTGATCACA